GCAAAATCACATGGAGTTGTAGCTTGGAAATGTAATACGACTGATAGTCTGATATCAAAATTCTGAAAATAATAAATAAGTTTTTTGGTGAATAATTCTGATAACCCCAATGCACATGTCGTTGGCCCTCAAATTTAAAGACAAATTCCTATATTCATTAATTGTGCATTAATCTAGAGTATATAAATTGTTAAATACGTATTAACCTCTAACCTTTTATCTTTGCGAAACTAAACTCAGTGGAGTTAATTTCCTCCTCTTAAGAAAAATAATTACAGTTGACGAAGATGCTTATTGCTTGAATAGTCGTGATTGTCCAAATAGTGGACTTTGTGTTAAATAATCTATCCACTATAGATCGGAGGGACGTTGGACCATTCAGACTTGAAAATGTCAGCCCAAATTTATTACAAGCCCCCCCTTGTACCTTGGTTAAATAATAAGTTAAAGAATTATACAGCCTAAGCTGTTACATGAGTTCCTTAATTTCTTAATAATATTATTTTGAATTTGTTTTTATATTAAATATTTACATCACTTAAATGATATAAAAAGCAGATATCGAAAAAGGTAATAATTACAACTGTTTATGATAATTAGGTGCCATTAGGCACCACTAGGCATCACATYACATCAGCTAGTGTGTAAGTCACCTTTTGCTATTCTCAATATGCATGGAAGATCATGAGAGGGGAAATGCTGAGTGGTGTCTATGTGACAGTATTTATTGAAAAAATTCCGATGCCTCTAAATACACCGTAAACCGGATAAGTATGTAAGTGTTTGGCATCAATGTGTTGCTTTAGAGACATTTTATGAGAAAATGGTGTTGTATCTATATGCTATCACATAGGATGTTTTCTGAGAAAAGGCAAAGGTTTTATTTGGTATCAATGCTTTATAATTGTTTTCAACATTGGTCCACATATCTAATGCTTTACGTGATGCCGCATTGATGCCACGTCGTGGTATTTGATGTTGTTTGATTTGAGGTGGCCCAAACCAAGGATACAATCATATAGTCATGCTAATTGAATGAGGCCGAAGAGGAAGGACAGAGTCGTGCACCTCGAGCCTCTAATGCCTTTTGTGGTTGTAGATCTTTTTGGTGTGCGACTCTATCCTTCAACCTCGGCCTCATCTAGTTGGTAGGACTATTTGACCACATTTTTGGTTCGGCCCACCTCGAATTAGTTAATACTATTGGTAGCAATAGTTACGAAAATGAGAAAATGCCAAATTCAGTGTTTTCTTGAACCACGCTTTCCTGAATTCCAAGTTGTGGCTATTTTCTAGAACAATGGTTCCAAACAAGGTTGTGTTTCTTGGCACACCACTTTTTTTATGTGGTGCAGACATAGAGCCATTTTTTAAAGCAATGGCATCGATGCAAAACACTAACTATGCCATTGGTGTTCTACAATTTTCCATCATGTATGAAAAAATTGAAGAATCTTTTAGAACATGGATGGAAAATTGTAGAACACCAATGGCATAGTTATTATTATTAGGGCAAATTTCTTAAACTATCCTTATGATTTAGTTAATTGACTAATTCTACCCTTACTGTTTGTATATTGTCTTAAAATACCYTTACTTTCTTGACAATTGACATCATTGTTGCTAATGGAAAAAATAAAATGTCCAATTACCCTTTATTATTCATCAAATTTTCCAAATAAAACACAATTGATGAAAATTTTCAAGAATAGGAAGCAGATTGTTGCTCTCTGTCATTGCTTCCGTCTCCATTTTCGTTTTTGTCTCTGTTTCTATGTCCGCCTCCACCTTTGCTTTGCTTGCATCCTTCTTTGCCGTCTCCCTCACCTAAGTCAAAACAGCATCCAATGGAAGAATCTCATAATCTTAGAATCATGGTTTTTAAAATCGAACCGGTCAGGGTCCAGTTACTGGTTCGAACAGTCCGACCATTCGACCCAAATGGCTGGCCCATTCTAACAAAAAAAAAATTTAAATAAATAATTAAAAAAAAATAAAAAGTTTGAAAAATGGTCAAAACCGTTCGAATGGTTCAAACGATTAATCAGCTGGTTCAACGGTTTATTGACCAAAATCAACGATTTTCGAAAAAAAAGCGGATTTAGAGAAAAATGGAACCGATCAAATGACCGACTTTCATTTTTTCCGATCTGACGGTCTGGTCCGATTCAATTTTAAAAACCATGCTTAGAATGGATGCAACACCGGAAATCTGATTACGAGCAACAATCGTGTAAGCTCTTGTAATATTTAGAAATCTAGTTCTTCTTTTCTAGCATTGGCATTGTTGTACTAGGAAAAAGCTTAGACAGGACTCTTCAAACCCAAGGAAATAAATACACACTTTTAATAATGCAAATTTGCAGAGTTGATTGTAGTATGTCTATTTCCTTGTTGCCTTCATCATCTTCATACAAGACCTCTGGGCGTTCACCATTTTCAGTCCCTGTCCTCTGCATGATGTTAGAAATAAGCTCATCCAATTTCTCTGTACAAGAATTAAATCTATTAATACGACCCTTTTTATCCTCAAAAAGTATTCCCAAGACCAAGAGATAGATAGTATTTTCCAGGATCTCCACTTTCGGACGACATTAGTGCAGAAAGTTCAAAGTTCACTGTGAGTGTCATACTCATCATCTGGTGGTTCAAGAGTAAAGTGCAGAACCCAAGAATTTCTGCATCATTGTGCTTGCCATGTCATTGACAGATCCAGATCTCCTCTCAACCATGAAAATTGCTGCATGAGTTATATGCAGGACGTCCAGACAAGTGGCAATACATCCTTCTTTATCTAGAACAGGAAGATCCAGTCCTGAACGAGCCTCAAAATGAGAAAGGGCATTTTCAAACGTAAAAGGGGATTTTAGGAATATTAGATAAAAATATCATTCACTTGTGTCACATGCAAATGGTGTATGATGGTGAAGTAACGATAAGGGAGGCTTTTGACAATTGTTAGAAAACATAAAGATAGTTTAAGACAATATATAAATAGTAATTAATCAATTTYATAAATAGTAATTTAAGATGATGTTTGGCATTAATGTTGTTTTGTGATCAAGAGAAAACGATGCCGTGTAGGTGTTACATTAGAGAAAATGGTGTTTCAAACAATATCCTTTTGTTTGGTACCATTTTTCCAGAAAAAAACGTAGTTTCAGACCACATTTTAGAAATCGAAAAAGTGTAGCTTGGAGTAACACCAAATTCAATGTTTTCTGAGAAAACGATGTATTGTTGTCAATGATACAATAACGTGACATCATCTTAGACGTTAGATAATATAGATTAATATAAAAAACGTTGCTGCCAGAACTTGTACCAAACAAAATCAGTGCTATATTTAAAAAAAAATGCCTATTTAACAGCATCCATTCCAAACAAAAAATAAGCACTATTTTCTGAAAAAATGATATGATATTCTTAACACTAATGTCAAACACCTACTAAAAAATTTACCCTTATTAATACTATTATTATTAATGAGATTAATGATTGAAAAAATTCTTTAAATTTCAATTATGAATATCATGTGGGAAAATGTGGAAACTAACAAGTGAGCTGTTTTGATTGGAGCATGTAGTCTGGCGCAAAGGCTGAAGCCCAAGTAATGCCCTCATTGCCGGTTTCTAAGCTCTAATATCCTTTCCTTTTTCTGAATGTGGGGTTGGAAATTTATGATGTAAAACTCGAATTCCAACTTCCTATTTCCTATATTTTGACTTATAGCTTTCAATGACAATTTGTCTTATAAAAAAAAAAGATATTAATCAGAAAGTTATGATTTAATTTCCCCCTACGCGAATTAAGGATAGTTTAGATGTAAAATTCATTGTAAATTGCACTAAGAAAGTATATTTTGGTATTCTAAAAAATATTAAAAGAGAAAAAGGGGGGAAATCACTTCAATTTTTGGCAAAATTCTCAATTGAAATGCCATCGAATGCCTGAAAAGAAACTTATTTCTTTCTCCTTCATTTATTTTTGGGGTCTCGATGTTGATGTTGTTGCTTATTTAATTGAATCCTGTCTGTCCGATATTTCAAATCTACTTTTGCCCTTCTTCTCCATTCGTTAACCCCAATGTTTCTCAGTCGCGGACAACAGCCAACAGGGGTCGAACTATCCAAGTCGGAATGCAGCACCACTGCACCAGCACCAGGAGAGGAGTATGTCATGTCTTTATGTCTAGGCCGTAGGGACTAGGACTAGGGACTAAGGGAGCTCCACAATCAATCATCTTTAACTCATTCTCATTGTGGATGTGGTGGCGTTGGCCTCACGTCCAGACCAGTCCACCATCATATTTTAGGCCATTACAAAGAGAAAATAGATATCTCTCACTGACGGTGACGATTGACGAACTGAGGTGAGGGCCACGCCATGGAAGCCCAAGACCCAAGTCCAAAAACTGGTACGAGTAGGAGGAGTAGGACCATATATATATACAAATGGACCCCAGTTGGGTTGGGTCATCAGGTGAGGTGGGAGGGATGGGCACAGGCGCACCGTCCGTCCGTTCGTCCGTTCGTCCGTTCGTCCGTCGTCACAACAAATACCAAAATGAATAGACAAATGCATCAAATCATTTGAATGGTCCTTTGTTGCGAGTGAGAGGTCATCACTCCATCACTCATCACCATCACATGCAGGGGTGTCGGAGAATAAGGTGGTAATCAACTGCCATGTTCAGTCATCTCCACTAAATCAACCTTTAGTTACATCCTAATCAAGCTTACATTACACTAAACATGTCGGAATTTGGTTTAGGCCTTTACCGCATGTGGGGAGCTCCGGCTTTTCCGTCTCAATAATTAAACTAATTAATGGCACTCATCCTATTTTAACATTGTTTCTTTTTTAATTAATCACTGACACGATTGAGTGCAATTCCCTTAATATTAAAACAAATAAAGAAACTATTCAACTAAAAAAAAGTAAGAAAGGAAATGCTAATAAATGTTAATTTAGGAAGAATTTGGGAGGAATTTGAGGAGAAAKTTTTTGTCTGTGCAGATACAAGCACGCCCGCTGTTTTTGATTCTTTCTTTTAAACCCGCGCTAGTCTCTTTCATGTCGGCTTACCACATAAAAAGCTGCCCTTGCTTTGCGTCAGACTTTCCGGCCTGAAGTTGTCAGATTACGGCAGAACACTCGCCGGCACTCTAGTCAAACTGCCTCCCCGAGCCCCTAGCTAATCTCTCTCTTCCGTATAACTCTCTGTCTAGTACCAACTGTGCTAACTTCTGACAAGGAATTTGGAGATGTTGTCTTCCCGTGTTGGGCGGCCGGTGGTCTAGTCGGCGGAATTCGAGCCCAGYGGAATCTAACTGTCTTTCCGTGTCTGGTGGGAGTTTTGGACGTCCCGGTTAACTTGTAGAAGCTTCGTTCTGTTGAGCATTTTCAATCGCAGAAGTCCACTTTTCCGTCTCTACATGTTGTCGGAGTTTCATTTAGTATGATTTCCGGCGAGAAATAGCCGTTTTCCTGCGAGAATTGGATATTTCCCGGTTGTGAAGAGCTCTGGAATTCGAATTTTGTTAAGCTGCCTGTGGTTTTGTCTTTTGTGGTTAAGAAGTTTCAAATCCTGTCCGAATTGTCTAAATTATCTGAACATTTAGAGCTCGAAGAGTAAGTGCATGGGGAGACTCGAGAGGGATCGGAGAAAGAGAGAGATAAGTTAAAAGTTTGGGTTACTTGAATATAACGGTTCCTGCATTTCTTGGAGTTGGAAAATTTAGGGTTGCGATTGGGGACCTTCTTGAGGTTCATTGCATTTGGCGGAGACAGATTTCGAGAAACTTACTTCGGGGATTCAAGTTGATTTTGGGCTGAACAGTGAGGGAGATCTTCCTTGCAATTTCGTATCTAGGTTTTGTTTGAGAGGGTTCAACTCCGCTGAAGTGATGATGAAATTAGGGGTTTTTAAGCTCGGATGCGGGAGCTCTGTCTGATCCAAGTGGGTTCTTCTTTGGCTGGAGATATTGCGTCTTTGGTTGCTGAAACAGAGTTTCCTTTGGTTTTGCTGAGTGGTTGTGGCAAAAGAGTGGAAAAGGCTGGTGATTGATTGATACTCTTTAAATTTTCATCTGGATCTGTCACGATGAAGGCTCCTTCAAATGGGTTTCCGGCAAATTCTGGAGAAGGTACTTTGTTAATTCTCTTTATTGGTTTAACATCCACTCCTTTCTGTCGTAGAAGTGTGCTTTACTACTATTACTTCTCCAATCTCCATCACCCTTTATCTTCTTCTCTCCACCCCCCTCTAATCTTTCTGTGTGTGTGTGTATGTGTGTGCGCGAAATCCATTTGAAATTTGAACGAAATGATAGCTTTGGTTTGTATTAGAGGGTGAGAAGGGAGAGAAAAAATGAAGTGTAGGAATTAATTGGTAATTTAAAGATATTGAGCGGCAATGCTAAATAACTACGTATAAGCATTTTTCTTATGGATTTTAGTTGGACTTGAATGCCAAGAGAAACTTTTGGCATGGAGAAGTACATGTACTATTAGAAATTTATGGGGTTGTGACACTACTTAGCCAGCTATTTCACTTGCTTATTATCTGAGGTATTCCAATTGCTTATTATCTGAGGTATTCCAATTGCTTATTATCTGAGGTATTTATGGAGAAACTCAGGCATTTCACTTGCTTATCATCTGAGAAAGGAGGTGATCCCAGAAAGATGCTTTCTCTGTTGTTTGCTTAAAGCTCAATGTAACATTTAACAAGTCACAGGAAAAAGTTTTACCATAACCATATTAAGACGTGGCATTATGGACAATTTTTCATACTTCTCTCTCTTCTCTGTAGAAATTAAAGAGTTTAGATATTTGAAATAAGTAATGCTTCTTTTCTTTCATGGGCCATGACCCTTCCACTGGTAGTCATAATGTCCAGTTGGTATTGAAACAGGAGAAAGGAAGGGTATAAATTCGGAACTGTGGCATGCATGTGCGGGGCCTTTAGTTTCTTTGCCTCCAGTTGGAAGCCTTGTGGTCTACTTCCCACAGGGGCACAGCGAACAGGTAGGCCTTTTGTTGTAAATATCATTTAAGGAGGGCATTATATTGCAAAAATATACTTACACTTCTTAATTTTCTAATGTATTTTCCATTATGTTCTTAGGTAGCGGCTTCAATGCAAAAGCAGACTGACAGCATCCCAAGCTATCCCAACCTTCCTTCAAAGTTGATTTGTGTGCTTCACAATGTCACATTGCATGTATGGTAGCTTTAACAAAGCATATTTGCAAATTTGGTTTCATATGAAGGGGAACATTGTTTTTGGAGGGTGAAATATTGATACCCAATATGTTATACCATATGCATGGCCGAACTATGAACAAACTTGAGTTGGTGGTGCTTTTCTTTGTTTGCCCATAGCCCAGAAGTCATTCTATGGATGATAGCCAACCAGTTTGTTTTTCAGGCTATGTTTCACACATTGATGGACCCACATTAAACTGCGTACATTGATGTACAGCATAGCTGCAACATTTTTTATGATCAAGGGGAAAAAAGTATACTTCTGTATGATTTACTCAAGTGGCATTGTCTTGAATCAGGCTGATGCTGAGACTGATGAGGTTTATGCACAGATGACTCTTCAACCAGTAAACAAAGTAGGTCAGAAACTCCTAGTTAACGTGTTAATATTTGATCTCTATTTTATTTGACATCTATGCTTTTCCATTATATATGTATGTATATATAGTTTATCTTAAATATATTTTCACACCTGTTCTATAGTATGATAGGGAGGCATTGCTTGCATCGGATATGGCCCTCAAGCAGAACAGACAACCAACTGAATTCTTCTGCAAAACACTAACAGCTAGTGACACAAGCACTCATGGTGGATTTTCTGTACCTCGTCGAGCGGCAGAGAAGATCTTCCCACCTTTAGTGTGTACTGTTTCTTTAAATATGTTTCCATAGCCTTAATATTTGATCATGATAACGTACATTCAATTTTACAAATTCCCTTGCTTATTTGGAAGTTTTTGTTAGGATTTCTCAATGCAACCCCCAGCTCAAGAACTAGTAGCAAGAGACCTGCATGATGTTGCATGGACGTTCAGACATATCTACCGTGGTACACCTTTTTTTTTTTAATTTTTGTTTTCCAAATATAGCAAAATCCTTTGCTCCCTTTTATTCTTATTTCATGCTTCCTATGCGGTTCTCACTTCTCATACCTTCTTACTTATTATTTGGGTATTTCTTCATTTCCTGATTCCAATTTCTAATAAAAACTAAAGAATGTGTTGATTTCATGACGGGCTAGTAAGATGTGATTCATTATTAATTACATCATCTATTAAGTTGGTGAGGAATTAGAAATATTGGATGGGAAACTGGATTGTATCATGCTGAGTATTAACCATTTCCATTGTTTGTGGGGAAATAAAAAAAAGAAAAAAAACAAATTATAGCGAAGGCATCCCTTTTCCTTCTTTTTATGATGCCTGTTCTGGTTCTTTCTCCCACAGCTTTCTGGTCCTTTCTTCTGTTGGAAATAGAGTTTTCTTAAGGTTTCTTTCCTCTGCCTTAGGTCAACCAAAGAGACACTTGCTGACTACAGGTTGGAGTGTGTTTGTTAGCACAAAGAGACTCTTAGCTGGTGATTCAGTTCTTTTTATAAGGTAATAGAAAAGGAAACAACGAGTATTATTAGTTAAATATATATTTTTCTTTTCATAATTTGCCAAAAAATGCTTGTATGTAGAGATGAGAAGTCACAACTTCTCTTGGGTATAAGACGTGCAAACAGACAGCAACCAACACTTGCTTCATCAGTCATATCAAGTGATAGCATGCATATTGGAATTCTTGCTGCTGCAGCACATGCAGCTGCAAATAACAGCCCATTTACTATATTTTACAATCCGAGGTATTATAACACATCTTTTAATTGTTAAATATTATATGATCAACATTGCATTGTAAAATTTAAGTTTACATGGTCTAATGAAATTGGTTTACTTTAATAGGGCCAGCCCTTCAGAGTTTGTGGTTCCCTTAGCCAAGTACACTAAAGCAATGTACACTCAAGTTTCTCTAGGCATGCGATTTAGAATGATGTTTGAGACTGAGGAGTCAGGAGTTCGTAGGTACATGGGCACGATAACAGGTATTAGTGATTTGGATCCTGTGAGATGGAAAAATTCACAGTGGCGCAACATTCAGGTTTGACTTTTTCACTTATAAGATAGAGATCTATGTAGATGAATTTAAGTTACTCAAATCTAGATTATTGATGTTTTTTTTTCTATGTTTAACAACACTTTACTGTCTTACTCTTGAATGTGGTACACTACATCTGTTACTATAATATCATAACAAGTGTCTGGCACCTACATTTTTATCACAAGTTGAATTGTATTCCATTCAGCATAGTTTGAGGATATCTAGTTTCTACCTGCTATTGATCATGTGCTATAGGTTCCGTAGGCATGGCCAATTATTGTGTTTAAATAGTTATACCGATTTCTGTTCAAGCAAATGTATGGCTTCCCAATCATGTTGAATTTTTATCCAGTCTTAATTTTTTACAGTGACTGTACTTGATAGGTTGGATGGGATGAATCAGCAGCTGGAGAGCGTCCAGGCAGAGTTTCAATTTGGGATATTGAGCCTGTAGCAACTCCTTTCTACATATGCCCACCTCCATTTTTTAGGCCCAAATTCTCTAGACAACCAGGGATGTTAGGTATGATTCACTGATTTGTTGAATATTGGACATTTTGGGATTATTACTATTAGCTCTTAGATTTCTTTCTCTCTCTCTCTCTCTCTCATTATCGGATGTTCTCTAAATAGCCGAAACCCTTCTTTCATGATTGTCTTAAGGTTAGCAGGTCAAATATGTATCCTATGCTTTTCTGATCAAGAAAATATGTATACTATGCTATAAGCATGATTTAATCCATTCAATTGATGGAACTTCTCTTTAAAAGATGGTAATTCAAGTCATAGAAGTTACAAATCCAAACTACACAACTATCTTCTAACTTTCCCCCTTTTCCTGTCTTTTAGCATTGAAATTGCAGCAGATTTTTCATGTAATTTTAGGCTATTTGTGATGTAGGATGGGAAGTAAAACGTTCTACTAGGGGCATACATGGTGGGTAAAGAAGGGGTGATAAAGATTTTAATTATAAAAGGAAGAAATTCAGATCTAAGTATAGGTGATAAGAAGGAATGGGAAAATTCAGAATAAGCAAGTAGAAAGAAGAGAAATATCACACCTTTAGAAGAGGAAGAGAAAGTTACAAAAGAGAAAGGATATTTGGAGTATGCTCTTATAGCCATTAATTCACCAAAACACATCATCTATTGTTTTTTTTTTTTTTTTGATGAATAAAATACATCATCTATTCAACAAATAAACTCTGAATTTGGCCAGAAACAACTCCTAACTGCTTTAAAACTAAAACAGAATCATAGGTAGCCCATTGAGACACTCAAATACAGATTTAGATTTCTAAAACAAATCTCAATAGCCATAACTAATCTGACCAAAACTAAACAAACTAAATACAAAGCAAGTTAGCTCAAAAAAATAGAAAAACTAAAAACCTGCTACGGATTGGCACCCTATCATCAAATGACCATAACTCTCTTATATGATTGTAATTTAAACTTTTCAAAATTCTGCAAACTCTAATTCTTTAAACTAGTGAATCCTTTAAAAATGATTAACGCTATTCTTATGTCACTAAAAATCAGAAAATGACTTTTATAAACTCAAGTTCATCAAAATCCTGATCAGTCAAAAACTATGAAATCACCAGCTCAACTTCACCAAAATTGCAATCATTCAAAAATTATGAAATTTCCACCATTGTAAAAATGTGAAGAAACTTATCTTATTCCATGGTTTCTTTCCTTGTTTCTTTTCCTGTATCAAACTGGCGGTTCCATTGGTGTGGTGACATACTGAATGAAAAGAATTTCATTTTTGAGTTACAAATAAAGAGGTTTAACACTTTGTTTGGGGGGAGAGAGAGTGGAGTATTAGGTCTTAGTTCACAGTTTTGCAGTTCCTTACTAGTGGTCTATATGAGTGTTCTTGCAGGTGATGAGTCTGACATAGAGAATACTTTCAAGAGGGCAATGCCATGGCTTGCAGATGACCTTGGGTTGAAAGATACTCAAAGCCCAATCTTGCCAGGCTTGAGTCTTGTTCAGTGGATGAGCATGCAGCAGAACACTCAGTTTTCAACTGCTCAGTCAGGAATCTTCCCGCCGATAGTTTCCTCAGCTGCAGTGCATAATAACCTTGGCACTGATGATCCATCTAAGCTACTAAACTTTCAAGCACAGACCTTGTCTTCTCCAAATATCCAGTTCAGCATTCCAAAAACGAATCAACATAATCAACAAGTTGACCAGTTTCATCAGCCACCTGTGACATTGTCTCAACAACAGCAGCAGCTGCAGATCCTTCAAACTCTTACAAATCCACCGCAGCAGCAACATCCCCAACAACAGCAGCAGTACAACCAACCACAACAGCAATATAATCAACCACAACAGCAACACCAGCACCACCAACAACTGCAGCAGCAGCAAGAATTGCATCACCAGCAACCAGAGGAACAGCTACAGCAGCAACAGCAGCTTCTTCGACCAACTCCTGCCTGTTATGGTGTGGTTTCTCCAAACAACACTTTGCAGCAACCTGTTGTCTATTCTCAACTTCAGCAACAGTGTTTACCCATATCCAACAATCAATCCCAACAAAACATCCAAGCCAATACTTCCCTCCAACCAGTATCTTTACCACAAGATTTGCAGTTCCAGCAGCAAGTTGAACAACAGAACCTCTTGCAAAGGCAGCAGCAGCAGTCATCATTATCTCAGCAGCAATCTGTTCAACTACAGTTTCTGCAGAAATTACAGCAGCAGCAGCAACAGCAACAATTTCTCTCCCAGATTAGCCCACGTTTGCAGCCTCAGCTGCAACAGCAACAGCAGGTCCATCAACAAAATCAGAAATCTCAACAGCAGGCCTTCCCACCACAACAACAACTAAGCAGCACCAGAAATCTTTCATCACATGCATTAAACCAACCACAACAATTTCCCTCGAATCATTTTCTAGGCCAGCAGAAACAATCTGTGGCTATCAGAGCTCATTCTGGTCCTACAGATGGTGATGCTCCATCATGCTCAACATCACCTTCTACTAATAATTGCCAAATTTCTGCATCCAGGGTCTTGAACGGAACCCATCAAGGCCCAACTATTCTAGGAGAGGATACAGTGGTTCAGCCTGCAAGCAATCCTGGTCAAGAGCTTCGAAGCAAGCCTGATATACAGGCCAAACATGAATTGGCAAATCTGACAGATCCAGACCAATTAGTTCATAGAGGTGTGACTGCTGATCAATTGGATGCTTCTTCCTCTGCAACGTCATACTGTTTGGATGGCAGTAGCGTCCAGCAAAGTGTCTCACTACCAACATTCGGTCTGGAAGGGGAAGCTCAAGGGGATCCTCCAAATAATCTTTTATTTGGTGTTAATATTGATGGCCTGACGCCTGAAACTTTGCTATCAAGAGGATTTGGTTCTGGGAAAGATCTTCAAAACTTGCTTTCCAGTTATGGTGGTACTCAAAGAGATATAGAGACAGAGTTATCTACAGCTGCAATCAGTACACAGTCATTTGGGGTGCCAGATATGTCATTCAAGCCTGGGTGCTCCAGTGATGCTGCTGTAAACGAATCTGGGGTTTTGAATAGAAGCTTGTGGGYTAACCAGACACCTCAGCGTATGCGAACATTCACAAAGGTTTGCTGCTTCATTCATCCTCTTCAGTCTTTTTTTAATAAATGTCTCCTCGTGTTCAGTTTCAAGACTTTTAATTCACTGGAATTCCAATATCTATGCATCCATCATGAACTTTTTTGAAAAAAAAATGTAACTTCTAATTCATTAAAAGCAACAAGAGGGGTACATGAGATGATCTACATCAAAGCCAACCAGAAAAACTCCAAAAGAACTATGTAGGAAGAGATCTATCAGCATACAATGAATCCCTGTAGACAAGGAGCTTTAGCTAAACCATCAGCTAAAGAATTTAACTCTCTAGGAGTCCATCAAGTAGTGCATCAATCTCCAAAGCTTTAGCTAAACCAGAAAAACATTCTTCATCGTCATAATGTCTCTAGCCTCAACCAAGTAGTGCATCAATCTCCACAAGCCACCATCCTTTTCCTCTAACCATTTTATTGTATTTGTTGAATCACCTTCATTGATTATATGAGTTATACTCAAATCTCTTGCTATTCTAAGCCCAGTTAGAGCAGCCTACACCTAAGCCTTTGTAGAACCAGCAGCTCTTATCAGACCACTAAGGCCCAACAAATATTTCCACCTCTTTCTTGGATAACACCTCTGATCCCTGCTTCACCTGGGTTACCTAAAGCACTTCCATCTGTCATGAATATGCATGTTAGCATAAATACCAGATATGAATATGCATGTTTGCACACTATATGGCCTTTTCTCCTTCATAAGATTCTTCTTTTTTACTTATCATAAAAACAATATATATATATATATATATATATATGCATGTTTGCACAAACACTGACCTTGGAAAGTTAATACATATGATGCACAAAAGAGCCATTACCCAACGACAATCCAGACTATTCTTTGGTCTTGCATAAACTGGATATGGACCTAATCTTTGGCATTTTTTTGGCATAAAGTGGCTGCCTTAAGACTCCAACCTGCAATCTCATGTTTGCATGATTTTACCATTGCACTAAGTAACACCTAGCCCATCTGATATAAAACCAGTTTAATGATATCGGTGTCTGTCTTGTATGGAGGATGCTTGAGTCCATGCTTCCAATGACTTCTATACTGGATGAACTGCATGACTTACAATGAGAAGAAAAACCGTACTGGCCTGAGCCCATGCTGGACCCCCTCCCCGTATTTTTGTGCCATGCCAGTATGGCCCGATATAGTGTGGGTGGCATGACAAAAGTTGGATACCGATAAATACTCAGACTTTAGGGCTGCTTGATAGTGGCTGAAGGGGACAAACTGAATGACTTGTTGATTTCTTTTTTAGTATTTAAAATGGTTGTATAATAAAATATCTATGGATATATTAACCATCATCAAACGACCCCTTAATAATGCAGGAATGTTGGCCACCCTTAATTTCTGGGTCCATTAGAGAATCATAATCAGGCCTATAAATCTATCCTCTTAAATTTCTGGTCACATAGAAAATCATTAAATTACATGGAGATGGAGTTGTTTAGAAGATTTTAGTTATGAATTTTGGAACTGTGGTTTCTTAGTTTGAAGTCCAAATATAAATGTTAATACGAGTCTATAGATAATGGGTCTAATGCAAGGTTGTATATTGTTCTTTTGGAATCAAATCGAGGATTATCTGTAACAGGTTTTCTATTTTCAGAGGTTGAGTGCACAAACCAGAAACTCTTTACTGCCATTGATCTTATAATTTAATTACCAATCCTGCTACACTATTGTGTACAGTGCCCATAAATAATAACCATGAAATATCTTATTTAAAATTCAATTGTTGGTTACTGTGCTTCAATTCCTTCTGCTGTCATTGAGTGGTTTGAGTTGTAAACTTGTCACTCTGGCACTGCACATTCAAAGTATGATTTATCATTATTTTTAAGGTAGCATTTCATGTAACATGGTGTAGAAGGTGTCTACCAAATTATTTCACGGTAGGTTCTGCATCATGTCCTGATTTGTCACACCAGGGAGCTTTGTTGGAATGTTCTACTGGAAAAGCAGACTTTCATTATTACAAGAAATAAGGCTAGCACAATTTTCTGCTTCCATTGATCAAAGCTGGATCCAAGGTTGACCAAAATAACTGGGTGGTCCATATATCAAAATAAATGATCTCAACATAACTCAGCCCTAATGTGTTGTGTTCTATCAAGAACCATTATCAAAATAAACTATATAGATGCATGAATAGTAAGGCCAGGTTTGTCCTAAATGAATCTAGGCATTCATTCATGATGCTAGATTTTGTTCAAGTATAAAAGTTGCAGTTTGAATACCATTTTTGACATAATGACATGTAAGTTCTATTAGAATCATGTAGAACAGAAATATACTTGTCCTTTAGTTGCTTCTGAATGTTGTTAAATGATGTGGATTTTCTAAAGGTTCAAAAGCGTGGCTCTGTCGGAAGATCCATTGATGTCACACGTTACAAGGGATATGATGAACTCAGGTATGATCTGGCACGCATGTTTGGGATTGAAGGACAGTTAGAAGATCCACATAAAAATGAGTGGAAATTGGTCTACGTGGATCATGAAAATGATATTCTACTTGTTGGGGATGATCCCTGGGGGTAAGTTGGAAAACCATCTTACAACACTTGTTCTCTTGGTCTTTGCTTATTTTTCACTTTTCATTCTATATAATGATCCATGGGAGCAAGTTGGAAAACCATATTACAACACTTGTTCTCTTGGTCTTTGCTTATTTTAACTTTTCATTCTATAATGATCCATGGGAGTAAGTTGGAAAACCATATTACAACACTTGTTCTCTTGGTCTCTGCTTATTTTAAACTTTTTTTTTCTATAATTGCAGGGAGTTTGTCAGCTGCGTTCAGAGCATAAAGATATTGTCAGCCGCTGAGGTTCAGCAGATGAGTTTAGATGGTGATCTGGGGAATTTGCGTATACCCAATCAGGCCTGCAGTAGGTCAGATAGTGAAAATGCATGGAGAGGACACTATGATGATAATTTAGGTGCCTCTTGATGGGTGAGGCTGGACAAGGTTTATGAAATGATAAACATTTCTGCTCGTCGATTTTTTTTGCTTGGCAAGGGTATTCCATGGCTGCAAGATGATCAGCATACAGAGATTGTTTCGCCTGCAATTGGCCTGAGGGAATGAAAACATGACAAATGGATATCATAATCAAGATTTGATTGTAGCTACTACCTGCCTCGCTGATTCATCTCTCATATGAGAGAGAGAGAGAGGTCCTCTTCCACGATGAGATGTTGTTCTAAGCTTTCTTTTAGTCTAAGGTACATGTGATGTGACCATTTCTCTACTTGTATGTAAAATTACGCAAGGCAAATTACTGTAATATCTTTGAACATTTTGGCTATAAGTTCCATTCTACCAATTAAAAGAGGAACAAAAAAATTCATATTTCGGCAWGAAAGAGCGCATTTCCTTTTCATGGTTACTTTTGTATTTGTWCAGAAGCTAGCCAATTAAAAGGTACTTCTGTTCTGACCAATCCGGAGATCATTTCAATTTCATTATTAGAAAGTAGTAAACATTCCCACGTTAAAAATTGATCACTCAAAGAGAGATTGAACGACTAAAAGAAAGATTGATTCTTTGATTTAATTTCTTTTCTTCAAATACACCTTTCTTTAGCCAAAGTGCACCACTAGTCTCTTTCTTCCCTCTTGATGCTAACAAGGTTCAATAAGCCCAAATGATACGTTGATAATGGGCTGATACTTTCCTCTTTTGGGCTAAGGGGCCTCATTCAAGTTACAACCATTAATTAATAGTTAAATTTTTTAAATTATCCTTATGGTTTAGCTAATTGACTAAGTGTATCCTTACTGTTTGAAAATTGACTAATGCTACCTCTATGGTTTACCTAATTTCTTAAACTAACCATATAGCTCATTCAAGTTACATCCGTTAATATTTCGTCAAAACCCGTATACATGTGACACCATGTGACGTTTAAAACTTAATGCTACCCTTGTCCCCTTCCTCTCGACCCGACACACTCTTCCTCCTCTCTCTCTCCATCTATCTATCTATCTCTCTATCTTCCTCCCATAGTCTCCGTCAACACCAGACCACTGGGGAGCAACTGCAYTGTATCTGCATTGTATAAAAGAACAAAAAAAAATTAAAGCATTTATCAATCTTTTCACAATCAAGAACCAAAAAAAGAATAAAAGAAAATTAAAGTCAATCTCTACTATTTGCTATTGGTATCTTTCAAATTATTGATTTACAGGAGTATCTATTAATCCTTCTCTTTCAGTGGGGTTTCTTCTTCGACCATCTTTTACCACTTGCTTGATCATCTTAGATTGAAGGGTGACGACCTCGTCGACCTCGAAGTGCTCTCCATCGGAGCTCCTCAAAATGAACTTTCTGGCTTCATCCTCTTTCTTCTTCAACAGTGGGGGTGCTTTGTTGAAGAAGCAAAGAATGAATGAACCGAATAGGGGCGTTGGTGGCGGCAATTGAAGTGGTATGAGCAAACTGAATAGGGGCAACGACAATGACAACCCCCTCTGAACTCCTATCTTTCTTTCTCTCTCTTCTTCCTCTGGGCAAYGACGGCGGCAACCCCCTCTGAACTCTGATCTCTCTTTCTCTCTCTCCTTCCTCTGGGCAACGACAACAATCCCTCTGAACTCTGATTTCTCTTTCTCTCTCTTCTCCCTCTGGACTCCGATCTCTCTCTCTCTATTCTTCCTCTGGGCGACGACAACGACAACCCCCTATGAACTCCGATCTCTCTTTCTCTCTCTTTTTCCTCTGGGCGATGGCAGTGGCACTGCCCTATAACTCCACCTAGCGGTGAGATCACCCGACCATTCTCCCCTCTTCTTTCCTCCTCCTCTCTCTATTCTCCTATGTTCCATCCCCCCTTTCCAATTGAAACCAACCATCCAAGTTGCAATGACATTTCCTGATTTCATTATTGACCATTCGACAGAGGAGGCCACTTATGCTCGATTGTTAGGGGCCCGAGATTGGAAAAAAGACCTGAGAGATTCTGCTAGACTAAAGACTATCTTCACAGTCTTGTTGTAGGGTTATCTTTGAGCTCTGCATTTTTTAAGCCATAGGGCTCTGGATGCCATTGCAAAATCGAATATTTTGGACCATAAAAGGATAGTTTAGGCATTTTGCACGGGTTTTGGCGGAGGTTAATGGTAAGAATAGAGTTAATCAATTGTCAGAAACAGTAAAGGAGCGCCGGTCAATTTTCAAATAGTAAGGGTATAATTAGTCAATTAGCTAAACCATAAGGGTAGTTTAAAAAATGTACCCTTAATTAATCTATTATTGATACAATTTTATATTGAATTTAAAAATTTTAAATCCGATTAAAGTGTTCCAGGTAAAATTAGATACCATAGACATTGTCCTTAATTAGTTAAAATAATCATATTTTAACAGTTGAAAAAATGTTTTTATAAATAGTGGCCAAAGTACAAAATCTCGATAACATAACTTTGGCTCATAAATATCTGGCTCAAGTTTGAAAGTTCAATCATAAAGGTATAGTATAATTAACAAATTTTTGGCTTTTATTCGTAAATAATTATCTTGTTTACTTGCTTGGCAAATTTTTGGATCTTAATATAAAATCATAAAGATATAGTATAATATGTTTAACATTTGTGTAATTTTTGATATACTGTGCATATTAATTAGTAATTTATATTGATGGGTTGAGGTATATTTTGGGTTTGAATTTGGCATACAAAATGCAAGCTATGATTGGCCTATGCCTGACGTTGTACCTCACATAAACTGTTAAAATAAATGTTTTCTTATTTGTCCATACCTCGTTTACGATCTAGAAATAATATTATTGATATATATTTAACATTTATTTTGCTTTTCCTACTTTATCCATGTGCACATAATTATTTTACCATGTCTTCACATTTTCCAAGTGTACCCTGATATTCCAATTAAAATTGTCTTACCAAATTATACGTAAGATTATAGATATAACCTAAAGAGCTTTTAATGGGCGGAGAGAGAAAAGGGGGAACATAAGGAAATACGATGAAAATGCACCTATATGAATTAATGAAGGCATTTTTTATTTGGATTTTGAGGAAGGAAAAATAGGTCAATGAGATTTTGGTTACTGTTGACCAAGAATTCTATGTTTTTTTTTTTCAGATTAATGTGAGTACCAAAGAAAGTTTATTTTCCTCAGTATAACTTTCTTGAGTATCCCTAATTCGGGTATACCATCTTTTAGGTGAATAAATAATTTTTTCACCTAGGAAAAAAGTCTCAACACTTTAATAAAACAAAAATGCCCCTTTTAATAATGAATTTTTATGACTAAAAATAGCCATTTCCTTTTTTACTTGGAAAATAAAAAAATGAATAAATACGCTTACCCAAGTGTTTAACAGAAAAAACTTAGCCAGGTAATTATATTTACACAAGTAACTTACCAAAAAACGAACAGAGCCTGAATGAAAAACCGAATTTCGTAACTAGACCTAGTCAGTGGGTTAGTAGAGGTAGTCACAGAACTCTTAACACAAAGTGGAGAACCTGTCTTCCTTGAATTTTGATCACGCAACACATCAATACAAGGAAGGGTTGCGGTGTCAAATTCAAGGGGTGAGAAGTAACTTTATTCATGGATGAAATGCAAGAAGAAAAAAGAAGCTGCATTTAGAAATTAGAATCAAAGAACAAGCCCGACAAAGATATTGTTTAATAAAGCATGTTTATGATTACAATTGGAAAGCCACATGCCTCGGAAGTTAGAACTCCACCCTGCGGGAAAATTGTGTACTGCAACATAAAAATATACAGACTACGAGAGCACAGCCATGACATCTGTGGCCCTTAGAGCAATATAATCAGAACCATCGCCACCCTTGAAATCATTCCCAGCATATTTGGAGTACAATATTGTGTTTCCTGGTGAAACAGTCAGTGGCTTTCGGTTGCCTTGCTCATCCAGAGGACCAGGTCCTACTGCAATTACCTGCTTAGCACCACATGAATGAATATGTTCAGGGCTTCACTTAATATGCGACGTATAGAAGATCCAATTCTTTTTTATTTTTTTGATAAATTATAGATCTAATTCTACTCATTAAACAGAGAAACAGATGTCAATGGTACTTCCTGTTCCTGCCTAAAGCACAACAGTCTCTGTTCTGCTTTATGCGTAGAAGAATGCTCATACAACTTCCTTCCTCTCTATTACCTACTACCACTAACTACCCTGATTACAAAATAATTTAAGACCTTTTAAGTACTAGAAATAAATCTCACCGTGCCAATGGAAGGTTTCTCCTTTGTTGCCTCTGTCAGCAGCAAGCCTCCAGAAGTCTTCTCTTCAGCTTCAGCAACCTGAAATCAAATAAACATGATCGATACAACCACAGATTAGCAAAATATCAGGAAATATCCAAGTGAACACTGAACAACTATGACAATTTGTTTTGGAGAAGCCCAAGTTATTCCATGATGCACCATGCTTTTAAATCATGCACCAGCTTAGAACAACAAAGAAAGGAAACACACCTTGATTAGAACACGGTCATTCAGAGGCTTGAGATCCTTGATATCATCTGTCTCAAGAATGCCCACAATGTCATCCTCCTTCAACAGCAGATGATTGGATCCATTGAACTCCAACTCTGTCCCTGCATATTTTGAGTAGACTATCTGGGTACCAGTCTGCTAGAAAGAGAAAATTTTAGTGGAACCTAATCAACTACATAAATAGACACAATCCAAACATACTGAAATTGAAAATCACCTTGACATTGATGTCAACTTTATTCTCTCCAACAGTCCTTCCCTCTCCAATGGCTACAACTTCACCTCCTTGAGGTTTTGTTTGTGCAGTTGAAGGGAGTAGAATACCACCTACAGTTTTCTCCTCTACAGTTTTGATCTTTACCAGAACTCTATCTCCCAAGGGTTTGATGGAAGTGTACTAGTACAAAATTGAGAAGTTCAGTATGAATAGAAAACAGAATAAAAAGAAAAGGAATATCCTAAATTTTACAAGCAGATGACTTCCTAAWACTGTGTACCATCAGAAAGAATATAAATACATGCAATGTACACCAACATGGATCAAGTTGAACAGAGATCTCTGTTCAGCTAAAACGAAACACCATAAATTCAAATCCACACTACAACTAAGAGGGCTTCCCTCACCTATTGCAACTGCAGCTTGAAGAATAAAATTTTCAACTCATTCACTCTGGTTATACAAGGACCATTAAATAATTAGAAGACAACTTGTTTAGCAAAATTTGAAGTTGGGATAATGCTCTATTAAGGGATGTGTGTGTGTGTTTTTCTAGTCAAATGTGCTGCAACAGAATCCACCCCCAAGCAGCCAAGCCCCAAAGCGGGATTAACTTTACCAGCAAGGTAGGCTGCCCCAAAGCGGGATTAACTTTACCAGCAAGGTAGCTGGGACCTTAGCTCCGTTACTTTAAGCTGAGTATCAAAAGATAAAGCTTCATTCACATCCTTCCCACGCACATACACCCAAAAATATGAGGAAGAGAAAACACCTAAACAGAATTTCATGAACACTTAAACTTCAAAAGATCTCAGCGCAAATTTAGTGTAAAATATTCCATCACAAAATTGATTCAGCATTGTAATAGATAGCTTCATGATATATATATGTATATATATATTCTTCCTCATATAATCATATTCTTTCCAACCAGAACCTTCCAAGAGAAATGACTCGTAATGTTATAGATTCTTCATAAGTTTCATGGCATAAAAAAATATGCAACCGTTAAGACTCCTTGGTTTACCTGTAAAAGTGTAAATTACTCACTGAAAACACAATTGCAAGATATAAAACAAGTTGTCCTATCATAGCTCACAGATCTTAACAACTATAAAAGTCTCGAACTCAATGTACCCTTTCATAAGAACAATGACCCTTTTGCTAAGAACCTATCAGTACAAGACAATATACTACGATCATATCCCAAGAGAACTTGTTTAACATCTAAACTTGCAGTAATATCAAGGCAACTGCAGTATCAAAAACTCAATTGTCAAATTCATTCTCACGAGGCAATCTACAGTCCATGATATGAACCCACTTGGCCACTTCTTCCTTTCAACGACAGCAACTTCTCTATTTTCCTCAAGAATCAATTCATCCCATTTAGGCAGTCAAAATTTCAGTCGAACAACTAATAGACAATACAAAGTGACCCATTATAACCAAACACACTCAGATTCAGTACACAAGAAAGAGAGAAAGGTTTCGTGTTGTGACGTCCAGAACCAACAGCTGATAAAAAAATCCTAAGATGAAGAACTGACTATACCTTGGGTGCGACGACGGTGGCAGCTCTCACGACAAGGTTCTGGATGGACCTCTGGCTAAGCCCGACGCCTGAAAGCCCAACCTGAGAGAGACGAACCCTTGACGATGGGCGAAGCCCTCGGAACGAAGGCAAGGCATTGGTTGAAATAGACGAACCATTTAGCTGAACCGCAGCCATGGACTGAATTGTGTCCTGATAGGCACAAGGCAGAAATGAGCTCGAATGTGACAGCGATTACAGAAATTGGAGGGAACCCAGATGAAACTCGAAGGAACCGATTAAAATTTTAAATATGTTTGGCTGAGGAGTAGAAGAAGAGGGATAAAATGCCCTAGAACGAGAAGTTTTATCAAAGATAAGAAAGAGTGAGAATAGAGAGAGACGGAGAGACTTAGAGAGTTCTAGAATGTTGTATTGTGAGAACGACTGGCCGAGACCCGAGGGAGAGTTTCCGAAGGGGGGGGGGGATGCTAGTGAGACGCGCTTGGTGAGTTGCCGTTAAAGAAGGGTAATAGTTGAAGAAATGAGTTGATGGGAGAGTAAGGTGGCGTTTCATAAATTAAAAATGTTTGAAATCTGAAAAGTGAAATAGTTTTTTCGATTTTTTAGAGGTTTTAAAAAATGTTGTTTGTGTTAGATCAAACCTTTAGCATATGAAATTTATTGATTTTATTGTTTTACTTCTAAAATAGAYTATTTGGTAATTTTGAATTTAATTTGCATTATTTCATAAAAAATAATTTATTAAATTAAAAATAAGAATGAAAAATATCAGTAAATTATAAAAAAATAATTATTAAAATAAGAATAAAATTGAAAAATACATATCAATTTATAAATTAAAAATAAATTATTAAGAGTTAAAATAATAATGAAAATAGTAATAAAGAACATGAAGCAATAAAAAATTAAATAATTATCAAATTAATATCTTAAAACTATTAAAATATTTAATAATTAATAAAAACTAAAATAATTAATAATTAATACAAATATAATTTATAAAAAGAGGGAGGGAAGGAGAGGGGGGGGGGGGGGAGAATCAAAGACACACCGCTCTACTAAGAGCTACAACGGCGGTGGTGGGAAGACGGGGGGAGAGAGAGAGAGAGAGCCTTTTGACATACACGTATTAACCACCACTGATGAGAGTTGCAACGGTGGTGGCAGGAAGACAGGGGAGAGAGGAAGAGAGAGAGGGAGAGGGAAATCGAACGCCGATGACTATAGGGTTGCAGCAGTGGTGGTAGGAAGACAGGAGGGAGAGAGAAATCGAAAGAATGAAAATGAGTTCTCCATTGCCGTCTCCTTTTGAGTTCTCCATTTCTCTCCCTTTGTTGTCATGGTGTCGACAAAAATATCCCAATAAATGAGTCATCGATGGTCACCGAAAGAATGGAATATTAATCGTCAAACGACCGTTAATTGCTGGAATATTGGTCGCCAAGAGAACAGAAACCTAGATCGCCAGGAGACTTGGTCGCTGTGTCACTAATGGTTGGGAGCTCGAATGAGAAGAAGTTTGATTTAAAAGGGATGTCTATTCAAATATTATCAGGGGCATTTCAGACTTTTGAACACATCTGAAACGCGTTTGAGCGCGCTCAGTGATGGCCTGCGGCCTAAACATTTTAGATCTGAAATGCACTTTTAGATCAACATTCATATGCATACCCAAACATTTCTGGAATCTGAAAAGTAATGTTTTCAGATTTCAGACCTCTTAAAAAGCGTTATCAAACACCACCTGAGACTATGGCTATAGACCTAGAACCGTTCCAATTATTATTAATCGAGATAACCAGTTCTGGCCCGATTATGATATCATTATCTATGTATATAATACTTTAAATTTAAATTTGTAATAAAAATGACAATAAAATAATAAATTATTTATATGTTAATAAATCAAGTGTTTTAAATAAAATTACCTTATATATTATCTAACAAATTTATCCCTTTAGATATAAAATATGATAAAATTACAAAAAAATTAGGAAACCTTTGTACATTATTACTAAAAGAATCAGTTCGGTCTGAATCAATTCAAAACAAAACAAGCAAGAACAGGAGCTGATCCAATTATTAATCAAGACAAAATCATCGAACTAGAACCAATATAATCGGTTCGATTAGCTAGAACCAACCCATTAACGGCCTGAGATAGCATGACAAGAGAGATCATAGACCAAACCAGGCTTAGCACTTATGGAGAAGGCTATACGTTGTCCTTGGGGCCTAAGTCACTAATTTATATTTTATAAAATATAAAAAATTTACATTATATGTCATATAATATATGTATAGAATGTATAATACAATTTATATAATATGAAATATTATATATTTTATAATAGGGTAAGTTACAAAGGCCCCCCTATACTATGACCATGAGAGAAAGACCCCCCTTGACCGTTAAGTCAGATGATGGAATGCATTAAATTATCAAAATACCCCACTAAACCTTTTCTATTTTCTTTTTTTTTGCCCTTTTTCTCTTAAAACCTATTTAACCTATTGTTTCCCTTTCTTCTCTTCTTTTCCTCTCCCTCACCGTCATCTCTCATTCTTTCTCTCTCCCAACTCTTCAAAATGAAAGGACGGAGGAAACCTATTTCTCATCTTCCCTTTCTTCTCTTCTCCGTCTTCAATCTCGTCCCTATAGCCGTCGTTGACGATGTCGCAATCATGGGAAACTGCAATGCTTGATAGCCCAACAACAGATGACAGCCCATATCTCCGTCTTCCATCTTTTCCTCATCATCGTTGTCGACTTCTTCTGCTTCCATGGCAACGAGCAAAGGGAAAAAAAAGGACAGAAGGACTTGTAGTTGACGGAGTCGGAGATTGTCCTCCTGTAGCACTTGTGGAGCCGCCTCTCCTACAACACTTGCGGAGCCARAGCCGGCATCACATCCCGACCTAAAGACCTCGTCGCCGTTGCTAATCCTTCCTTTGCCATCCACGAGTCCTACAATAATGGTAGCCACCGACTTGATCTTGGGGTCTTGTTTTCTCCACCACTTAACAAGTAGGGCTCTTCATAAGAATGCCCAACCCGACCAAACCGACCAACCCGGACCGACCCAACCCGAGTCGGCCGGGTTTTCATCCGTACCGGTCAGTTTCGGGTTGGGCACATACATAAACCAAAATCTCCGGTCGGTTTTGGTTTTCTTGCGTGAAAACCGAAACCAACCCGACCCGAACCGAACTAGTATTCTACTAGTTTGGTAGTTCCTACTTCCTAGTTTGAGTAGTTTCCTAATTCCTAATAGTCTTCTACTTTTAGACTTCTACTAGAACTAGAACTCTAGAAGGYCCATTAGGCAATTACAATTAGAATTCAATTAAGTGTCATTTTTTAGTTTTTTACCTAGATTAGAATTTAGAAGGTTTCTAAATTTTTATTTTATTGATTTACCTACCTAGATTTACCTAGTTTTTTACTTTAGAAGGCCCATTATTGACACTTGTTTTTACATGAAGAATTTATTGATTTTATTCTTTACCTGAATTAAATTTAGATTTATCTTGGACTCTTGAATTCAAATTATCAACTAATTCAGATTTTATTTGGCTTTGTACATGAGCAAAACCGAAACCAACCCAACCCGACTCAAACCGACTAGGTCGGTTTGACCTGCCAGTGGGTTGGTTTCGGTTCCCACATTAGCTAACCCGACCAGGTCGGGTCGGTTGGGAAAATCTCAAGAAACCGACCCAACCCGACCCGCGAACACCCCTATTAATAAGGGTAGATTCATCAAAGAACATATCTTTACTTAACTACTTATTTTTTCTGCAACTAAAACTAATTTCTCCAATTCCACCACCATGGGTTTCACTTCCGATCCACTTCTACTTTTGATTTTCTTCTCTGGTACTTATCTCCTTTGCTCGCTCTCGACTTCAGTTCGACCATGGAAGATCCAAACAAACCAGTAATAGGCTACCCACCAGGGGCAAACTAGCTACAGTTCCAATGGCTACCCTCCAGTGTAGTCTAGCTACTCTGTCGCATCCACCGCCACTGGCACATCCTACCCGTACACTGTACCACCGCCAACATCTTACTACAACACCAATCCATACTATACCTCGCATTACGATCAACAGCGTGCTACCTTCTTTCGCCGCTTCATCGCCGCAATTATTGCTGTGTTCCTCATCATTGGCGCCATCACTTTCATCGTGTGGCTCATTCTCCATCCTCATGTACCTGAGTTCCGAGTTGATTCGGTCTCCGTTTCCTCTTTGAACATCAACAGTTCTCAGGTCATCGGCAATTGGGACGTCGGCTTCACTGTCAAGAATCCTAACAAGAAGATGAGCATTCACTTTGCAATTTCACGGTGGCGGAAGTTGCCTATCCGGCTTCATTTGAGGACGGGTTGAAAGTTTTGAATTGGTTAGAGAAGCAGGCAAATGGAGAGAGAGAGAGAGATCGGGATCTAAAGAAAGCAATAGTGGAGAGAGAGATCAAGATTGAATTAAATGGGTTCAATCGCGATGCTATTAAGGGGAAGGGCAAGAAGAAAGATCGGGGGAGAGAGAGGAAGAGAGAGAAATGTGAAGGAACAAAAGGGTAGTATCGGATGGTCAGGGAAGATGAATAATATTTTTCTTGTCTAGTTATTACAAGGGTAGTATGGGGATTAAAAAATATTATAATGGCATTTTTGGATGAAAGGCTAACAGAAAAGGGGTCTTTGTCTCACGGTCATAGTACAGGGGGTCTTTGTCATAGACCCCATAGTAGAGGGGGTTTTTTTAATCTACCCTTTGATACATAATATAATATAAAACATATATACAAGTATATAGTTCATATATAAATAATAAATTATGGATTGAGCCACGCTGGGCTTGAACACAAAAACCTAAGCACAAGCTAGCTTAGAAATTTGTGGGATGGGTCACGTTGGTCTGAAAAGGACCACCCCTAATCCAAGTGCACAATTTCACTTACGGCATTGGGATCGGGTGCTCACGTTGGGATTGGGGAATAGCCCATCCCCCAACTCATAACTTCCCTAATCCAAGTGCATGTGTGATTTGATCTCAAGTCTCCGCTAGGACTAGCATGAAACCTTACCAATCAATTGGTTGGCACCTTGCAGGGTTATTTATTTGGACATTGCTAATACTTAGCAATTAGTTTAATTTGAAAACCATCATTTTCTTAAGGGTAAATGCACACTGCCACCACGTAGGGGTAGTGATAATTAATCCCTCAAACTTTTGCCTGTGTTTGGTTTGAAGGAAAAGGTAGAAAAGGTAAGGAAAGGAAGAAAAATGTAGGAAACTTTTAAAAATTAAAACTAAACACTCAGCCTTCATGTGTGAGGAAGGTCCACCTTGAACTTTTAAAATCAGCATTTTTCCCGGACCCTATTTAATGGGTTTGACAACAAAGCTAAACTTATGAAAATGCTCATTCAAAGTTTTATATTCTTTTGTAT